ACCACTTGACAAGTCAAGCATTTGGACACATATTTAGCCACATCCTTCTTCATGCTTTTCCACCAGAATGTCTCTTTCAAGTCATGATACATTTTGGTACTCCCAGGATGAATGGTATAATTGGACTTGTGTGCTTCTTGGAGCAATTCCGTCCTCAACCCTTCATCATATGAAACACAAATTCTATCTCCAAGTCTTATGGTTCCATCATCCGAAATATGAAGACCCATTTTGGAGCTTTTTCCACTGTCCTTCATCCACTCCATTAATCTTGAATCTTTCTGTTGTGCTTCCTTGATTTTTGACAACAGCGTAGGTTGAACCATCAGACTAGACACTAGTACATCAACCTTTGGTGGCAAAAACCTGACATTCAAATTCTTGAATTCTTCTAAGAGTTTCCACTCCATCACCATTAAGCTTGCTAAAGTGCCAGTTGATTTTCTGCTAAGAGCATCTACAACCACATTTCCCTTCCTAGGTTGATAGACAATTTTGCATCTATAGTCATTCAGATACTCCATCCATCTTCTTTGTCTCAAGTTAAGCTCTTTTTGTGAAAATAAATATTTCAAGCTTTGGTGATCAGTGTGCACCTCAAATTCTTCTCCATACAAATAGTGCCTCCACAACTTAAGTGCAAAAATTATGGCAGCAAGTTCTAAATCATGTGTAGGGTAATTCCTCTCATGTGTCTTGAGCTCTCTAGACCCATAAGCTATCACCCGTCCATGTTGCATAAGTACACAACCCAAGCCTTTGTGAGAAGCATCGGTATATACCACAAAGTTTCCTCCATTGTCGGGAATAGCAAGAATTGGTGCTGTGACCAATCTGTTCTTCAATTCTTGAAAGCTTCGCTCACATTTATCTATCCATTCAAACTTCTGATTCTTACGAGTAAGTTGTGTTAACGGACCAGAAATATTTGAATATCCCTCCACAAACCTTCTATAATATCCCGCTAGTCCAAGAAAACTCCGCACTTCGGTGACACTAGTCGGCCTTTCCCACTTCACAACTGCTTCCATTTTACTAGGATCAACTGATATGCCGTCTTTTGAGACAATATGACCCAGAAAGCCAATCTGATTCAGCCAAAACTCACACTTATCAAACTTAGCATATAACTTCTTTTCTCGCAAAATCTGCAATACAATGGCAAGATGCTCCTTGTGGCTCTCTTCATCAAGAGAAAAGATAAGAATGTCATCAATGAAGACAATGACAAACTTATCTAAGTACAGCTGAAAGATCCTATTCATAAGATCCATAAAAGCTGCAGGGGCATTAGTTAAACCAAACGGCATTACTAGGAACTCATAGTGCCCATATCTGCTCCTAAAAGCAGTCTTCATCACATCCTCGGGTTTAACCTTTAGTTGATAATAGCCCAATCTAAGATCAATTTTGGAAAAGACACGAGCCTTTTGTAACTGATCAAACAAATCATCAATCCTTGGCAAAGGATATTTATTCTTGATGGTGACTTGATTCAACCGTCTATAGTCAATGCACAATCTAAGTGAGCCATCTTTCTTTTTCATAAAAAGATCTGGAGCACCCCAGGGAGAAGTACTTAGTCTAATGAACCCCTTATCAAGAAGCTCTTGCAACTACTTTTTCAATTCAATTAATTCTGCTGGGGCCATTCTATAAGGTTGCTGGGATATTGGTGCAGTACCAGGCACAAGGTTTATAGTAAACTTAATTTCCCTATTTGGAGGTAGCCCAGGCAACTCCTTAGGGAAAACATCAGGAAAGTCTTCCACTACCCAAATTCCTTCTACAGACACCGGCTTGTCTTTAGATTCAAAAACATATGCCAGATATCCATAACACTCATGCTGCAACATCTTATCAGCTTGCATGCAAGAAACAAGTAATGGAAATGATCCAGCTTTTTCTCCTTCAAACTGAATCACAGGCTGGTTAGGAGCGGAAAAAGTAACCACTTTCTCATAACAATCAACCATGGCATCATGGGTAGACAACCAATCCATACCAAGTATGACATCAAATTCCACTATCCCTAACAAAATCAGATCGGCAAGTAAAACTCTACCCTCTACCATAACTCTATAAGATCTATAAATGGTTTTTGATGTTAAAACCTCCTTAGAAGGAGTATTCACCACAAGCACACAATCAAGGGTTTCAGGCTCCACATGCAAAAATGGCACATACTTAGGTGACACAAATGAGTGGGTAGATCCAGAGTCAATCAACACATGGGCATTCTCAAAAGAGATAGGTATTTTACCTTTTATAACTATAGGAGTGTTTTGAGCTTGTTGTTCTGTGATGGCAAAAACTCTTCCTTGAACCCTGGGCTTCTTATTATCTTAATCCTTTGGCTACTGACTTGCTCCCTTGAGAACCGGGCAATCCTTGATCAAGTGGTCGGTCTTCCCACACTTGAAACATGCCCTAATCTGCCAATAACATTCTTTTCCCCCATGGTTCTTATCGCACCTCTTACAAAAATCAAAACTTGGCCTATTGCTTTCGGGGATCTTCCTTTTTCCCCTTTGTTCAGGCTTCTTGTTGAAAGGCTGGGTGTTGATAGCCTTTCCCTTGCCCTTTGAGTCATGAGTCTCCATTCTCTGCTCCTCCATATCTTGCTCAATTATTTGAGCCGTAGCCAAGACCTCATCATAAGTCTTTAGCATTTGAGGAACCACCTTATTCCTAATGGAAGCTTTCAACCCTCTTTAAAACTTCCTTACCTTTCTAACTTCATCATTAACAAGGTGAGGAGCAAACTTTATAAGAGAACTGAATTTAGCTTGATACTCATCAACTGTCATGTCATCTTGTTTCAAATTCATGAACTCTAGTTCCTTTCTTTCCAACACAACTGTAGAAAAATATTTTCGATAGAAGGCCTGAACAAACTTGTCCCATGTAACCTCCTTTCCTCTCTTAGAAAACCCATCTTGAGCAGCTGTCCACCAATCATCATCTTCACCTTCTAATGTGAACACTGCTAGCTCCACTTTTTGCCCGTCAGTACATTTCAGGAGCTTGAACATCTTTTCTAATTTCTTAACCCAAGATTCAGCCACATCGGGATCAGGAACTCCCTTGAAGCTAGGCGGGTTCATGTTCTGAAATTGCTTCACTAATGTCAACTGCTCATTTCCTTCTCTAGAGTCCACTGTTTGCTATGAATTGCCACCAGTGTTTTGTGGGGCATTATTGTTGTTCTGATGTTGAAGATAATCCCTAAAGATGGAACTCATATCCGTAATGGCCTTTTGCATTATGTCCATTCGGGTATTCACATCATCAGCAGGAGGAGTAGAAGTATTGTCTCCTTGACTCATCTTTCTTCTCTGGTACTGATACAAACAAAGAGTGCAAAACTAATAGTTAGGCAAAATCTAATCCTATGACACTAGACTCTAACTCATATGACAGATCAATATATTAGCAAAACCTTGGCTCTGATACCAAAATTATAACACACCTCCCTAGGCACTTCAGTTCTAGAAGAGTTCGGAAACAAAATTTATAGTAAAGATTTGTAGCGGAAGTAAAAACACTTATGATATAAAATATTTCTTCAAAAGAAAGCCTACATTCAGAAAACCAATTTAATAAAAAGAATATCATATATATATTGGAAAATGCCAAAATATTCAAAGTTATAAGATAAACTAAGCTAA